TCATGCATAATTTCTCTATAAAAAGTATAAGGTATTGCACTCACACTCGCACCCATATCACATAAGCCATGATAACAATGATCTCCTGTTTTAATAGAAACAACATGCATGCCAACTACAGGTCTATGTTTATTTTTAGTATCGGGTCTAGCAATTCTAGCAGCTTCATCACAGAAATAAATAACCTGCCCATCAATATTATCGACCAAGAGATCTTTAACCATAGCAATACTAGGTTCAACTTTAATTTGCTCAGGGAGTACTCTTATGAACCACAGTTGAAGCTTTAGCATGATCCTTTATTCTAACAGGGAAAGGTGGTTTCACAATATAAGCAGTAGGAACAATATATAGGATCAACATTATAAGTAATAGTCTTTTCTTCAAATTTAATAGGTTCTACTATGTTTACTTAAATGGGAGGTTGATATTTAAACCACTTATCCTTAGGGAGATCAACATGAGTAGCAAATGATTCGCAGAAAGAAGCTACTATCTCAGAGTCAAGTCCATATTTAGTGCTAAATTCACGAAAACCATCGGTATCCATAAAAGATTTAACACAATTGAACTCCTTACCTTCGTCGAGTTCCCAATCTTCAGAGTTGTGTTTATTTTTTTTCCAATAAATCCCATCTGAATTCAATAGTCTTCATCATAAAAGAACCAGTACAAGAAGTATCGAGCATCGAGCGATTGTTGAGAGAAAGTCGAGCATAAAAAATTTGAATAATAATTTCTCTTGAAAGCTCATGATTGGGGCACGAATATAACATTGACTTAAGCATCCCCCAATCTTGAGCGATACTTTCTCCTTCAGGAGGCCAAAAATTATATATATAATTATGATCATGATTTACCAGATGCATAGGATAAAACTTCTGATGAAATTCCAATTTCAATCGGATGTACTTCCATTATCCAATATCATCACATAGCCTAAACCATGTCAATGCCTTTCCCTTCAAAGATAAAGGGAAGACCTTCTTCTTGAAAATATCCTCGGGCATACCTGCAAGCTTAAATAATCCACAAACTTCATCCACATAGATTAGGTGCATATCGGGATGTAATGTTCCATCTCCTGTATAGGGATTAGCTAGCAGTTTCTCTATCATACCCGAAGGAATTTCAAAGTAAATATTTTTAGTAGGTTCAGTAGGTTGAGGAGGAACTCTTTGCTCTTCTGGTCGGGGTGAAAGTACCCCTAACAAGCCCCTCAAAGGATTATTTTCCATAGTAACAAGTGACAGTAAATTTCAACACACTATATAAATGTTTCCTTACCAAATTCCACCTACCAAAGGCGCTTCACTCCCCGGCAGCGGTGCCAGAAAAGAGTCTTGATGATCCACAAGTGTAGGGGATCTATCGTAGTCCTTTCGATAAGTAAGAGTGTCAAACCCATTGAGGAGAAGAAGGAAATGACAAGCGGTTTTCAGTAAGGTATTCTCTGCAAGCACATAAATTATCAGTAACAGATAGTTTTGTGATAAGGTAATTCATAACTGGTAACAAGTAACAAGAGTAAAAAGGTGCAGAAAGGTGGCCCAATACTTTTTATAGCAAAGGGCAAGCCTGGACAAACTCTTATATAAAGCAAAGCGCTCCCGAGGACACATGGGAATTATCGTCAAGCTAGTTTTCATCATGCTCATATGATTCGCGTTCGTTACTTTGATAATTTGATATGTGGGTGAACCGGTGCTTGGGTACTGCCCTTCCTTGGACAAGCATCCCACTTATGATTAATCCCTCTCGCAAGCATCTGCAACTACGAAAGAAGAATTAAGGTAAAACTAACCATAGCATGAAACATATTGATCCAAATCAGCCCCTTACGAAGCAACCCATAAACTAGGGTTTAAACTTCTGTCACTCTAGCAACCCATCATCTACTTATTACTTCCCAATGCCTTCCCCTAGGCCCAAACAATGGTGAAGTGTCATGTAGTCGACGTTCACATAACACCACTAGAGGAAAGACAACATACATCTCATAAAAATATCGAACGAATACTAAATTGAAATGATTACTTATAACAAGACTTCTCCCATGTCGTCAGGAACAAACGTAACTACTCACAAATCATATTCATGTTCGTAATCAGAGGGGTATTAATATGCATAAAGCATCGGAACATATGATCTTCCACCGAATAAACTAACTAGCATCAACTACAAGGAGTAATCAACACTACTAGCAACCCACAGGTACCAATCTGAGGTTTTGAGACAAAGATCGGATACAAGAGATGAACTAGGGTTTGAGAGGAGATGGTGCTGGTGAAGATGTTGATGGAGATTGACCCCCTCTCGATGAGAGGATCGATGTTGATGATGATGGCGACGTTTTTCCCCTCCCGAAGGGATGTTTCCCCCGTAGAATAGCTCCTCCGGAGCCCTAGATTGTTCCACCCAGGTTCCGCCTCGAGACAGCGGCGCTTCGTCCCGAAAGCTTCCTTATGATTTTTTCTATGGCAAAAGACACCATATAACAGAAGATGGGCATCGGGGGCCTGCCAAGTGGCCCACAAGGCAGGGGGCGCACCCAGGGGGTAGGACGCGGCCTCCACCCTCGTGGCTGCTGGGTGGCCTTCCTCTGGTGCTTTCTTCGCCCAATATTTTTAATATATTCCAAAACTGACTTTCATGGAGTTTCAGGACTTTTGGAGTTGTGCAGAATAGGACTTCCTCTGGTCCTTTTTCAGCCCAAAATTCCAGCTGACGGCATTCTCCCTCTTCGTGTAAACCTTATAAAATAATAGAGAAAAGGCATAAGTATTGTGACATAATGCGTAGTAACAGCCCATAATGCAATAAATATAGATATAAAAGCATGATGCAAAATGAACGTATCACCCACCACCCTCTGCTCCCTTACCGCCGCCGGCAATAGTCGCCGGGCAAAGTCCGCGCGGATCGGCGGCGGCGGGGCCCTTTTGCCTCCTCACGTATGAAGGTGGCGACGCGGCTGGTCGGCGAGGCGGCGTACGGAGGCGCGGGTGCGCGTAGGCATGGGCGCGCAGGGCGTGGATCTGGCGTACGGCGCACGATCCGACAGTGGGCTGCGAAAGTGGATCTCCTCTGCTCTGGTGCTGGGCTATTGAGCTGCGTGGGCGGCAAGGTGAGGCTGGTGGTAATGCACTGAGCTGCGGGCTAGGCACGCGTGGGACGTGGGCGCGCTGCACCGGGCGAGCCCAAGCTAGATCTGGAGAGTGCCTCCCGCTGGGCGGGCTCATGGTCAGCGACGTGGCGAAGGAGAGGGGTCAGGCGGGAGGGAGCTTTTCGGCGGCGCATGGGCTCTTCATGCGCGTCGCCTGCCGTTGGCTCGATTGGCTCCAGAGGGCGGTGTGCGGCAGATCTGGCCCCCGCGTCCTGTTCTGCGAGGTGGCTACGATGACCGTCGGGCGCAAGGGGCTGTCGGTTATCCGGCACGGACCAGCGGCAGTGATGGTAACCTGGGCCCCAGTGTCCAGATCTGGTGGTTGCGGCAGACATTGGGCGCGTGGGGCCGGTGGCTGTCGGGCGTGTGTCTGCGGTGGTAGCCTGGCTCGGGTTGGTAGTTGGAGGTACGACGCGGGGTGAAGACCTTGCTGCCAGTCTTTGGTCCGGGGCAGGCGACGACAACGCCTACGGGCACCGCTTTCTTCTTGAAGGCGTCGCTGAGGCATTCCTGCTCGCTCCACCACGCAAGGTTGCTCGAAGGAAACCCTTGATCCCTGGGATTGGACGATGAAGGCGATGTGTGTCGCGCCTCTTGGGGCATCGTTTCAGGAGCTCCTTACCGGCCAGGGGGACCAGAGATAGATGGAGGATGTTGTTCGTGCTGCTTGGTCGTGTCCGGCAATGTCGGAGACGTGGCTTTGGTCATGGTAATCGACTCTTCTTCGGCGTGTCCGTGAGATTACCTCAGCTGCTTGTTCCTGTGAAGTCAAAGCTGCGGTGCGGGGCACCGGTAGCGTACGATGACGAGCGACATGTGGTCCGTTCGGCGATCTCCTGTGACGAAGCTGCGTTGTCTTGCTGTGGGCGGATGGCGTTCCGTCTTGTAAGTGTAGTGTTGTTCTGCAGCCAATAGGGCTGCCTTTTCCTTCTCCCTTTGATCTTCGGATCCTCCTCATGTTGTTTTTTCCGCTGCTTTCTACTAAATCTAATTGAAGCCAGCAATTTGCTAGATCTTTCAAAAACATGTACGTGTCTCGATTCAAATTTCAAAATGATTCGGTATCCTCCATCCTTGGAGGGAAGAACAAGTTTTCATTTTATTCATCTCACTACTTTACCGAAGGATATATGGGCGCGCGACGATCGAAGAGCCATGACCTTTTGGGTAAGAACGCACGCGTTCACGTGCATGACTGGCCCGGAGTAACAGTATACTACTAATATAGTAATGGCACGGTACAGTGTGCACCACGTTCCTGGCCCTGCAAGGGTGCAAGTGGCACGTAGCTTTGCATGCGTCCTCCGAGGGATAAGACGCCACCTTTGTCGATCCCCAACAAACCACACCTCTAAAGCTTAGCTAATGACTCAGCTTGGATCCAGCTTGGATCGATGCCGGAGCCATGATCCGTAAATCATGCCGCTGCCAAGTTAACAAGTCCCTACTCGCTACTACTCCATGCATTGAATCCATCGAGCGATGTACCTTTTGCCTTACACATATAGCATAGCATGCGTCTCGTTGGCATATGCAGCGCTGTCAGGCGCAAATGCATATAGAAACCGAGAAAGTGACACGGGCTGAGGCACCAATCGCGCGCCACCTTGGTCCATGCGACCTGCACATGCACCTTGTCGTTCCACTTTGGTAACGAAGCTCCCTCTCTCTTCAACTAGTCCATCCTGTGGATCACACACACGCACACATCGAGCTAGGTAGGAGGTAGCTGGCCGTTCGGCTTATAAATAACGAGGGCTAGCGGGTATCTTGTGCAAGCCACACGACCTTCATATATACGAAGGTGCAACAGCCACAGTGCTAGCAGCTAGCAATGGCGTCTAGAGCAGCAGCGGCCGCCGTGGTCATCCTGGCCTTGGTGTGTGCCGCGCAGCCGTCCCTCTCGGCGGCCACTGCCGCCGGGGGTCTGTCCCCTGACTTCCACGCGACGACGTGCCCGTCCCTGCAGCAAATCGTGGCGTTCCACGTGGGGGAGGCCTTCAAGAACGACTCAGGCGTGGCGCCGGCCCTCATCCGCATCCTCTTCCACGACTGCTTCCCGCAGGTATATATTTACTTCGTGTGAAATTAGTTGCCGCTCAAACAGACGTGTTTAATATTGACTTATACGGGTGGTGGAAGTGTATATCAAAATGCATGACATATTTTACCCTAATAATAATGTTACAGGGCTGCGACGCGTCGGTGCTCATCGAGGGCCCCGGCACCGAGCAGGACGAGATCCCCAACAAGACGCTCCGTAGAGTGGCGCTGGACCTCATTGACCGCATCCGTATGCGCGTGCACAGCGCCTGTAGCCGCACAGTCTCGTGCGCCGACATCACCGTGCTCGCCACCCGCGAGTCGCTCGTCCTGGCCGGCGGGCCCCGCTTCGACGTCGCCCTCGGCCGGCGCGACTCCTTCTTCCCGGCGTCCAAGGACCAGGTCGGCCTGCTGCCGGCGCCCTTCCACCCGGTGGACACCCTCATCAAGTCCTTCGGCGACCGCGGCCTGAACGTGGCGGACCTGGTGTCCCTCTCCGGCGCGCACACCTTCGGGGTCGCCCACTGCGGGGCCTTCAGGGACCGGTTCAAGCCGGTGTTCGACACGAGCCCAGCCATCGACCCCAAGTTCGCCACGGAGCTGCGGAACAAGTGCGCCAAGGACATCCCCGAAGGCACCCTGAAGCAGAACCTCGACGTGCGCACGCCGAACATCTTCGACAACAAGTACTACTTCGACCTGATCGCGAGACAGGGCCTGTTCAAGTCGGACCAGGGCCTCTTCGACCACCCCACCACCAAGCGCATGTCCATTCGCTTCTCACTCAACCAGGACGCCTTCTTCGAGCAGTTCGCCAAGTCCATGGCCAAGATGGTCAACATGGACCTGCTCACGGGCGACAAGGGCGAGATCCGGGCCAGATGCGCCGTCCGCGGCACTCCCCCACGCATCGAGGCCGCCGCCGCCGGCAACGACGAGGGGATCGCCGCCGACATGTAAGAGTTGTTCCATGTAATTTAGAGTTCGTGAGTGAACTATGTGACACACGCACGGTGGTCAAGTACGTAGATGTGTTTGTGTGAGTGTGATGTGCTATCTAGTCAATAAGATGAGTGGTCAATCCGTATGCTTCCTAGCATAGGATCGATCGAGGTAGGTTCTTTTTGGACACCGGTTTAAGATCTTCAGCAACATCGTAGTCTCTTTTAGATTTCCAACATCACTAAGCTGCAAGGTCAGAAATTTTGCCATGTCACTGCCAGAACACTGTATGCTATTGCTACCATGTCACTGGCAGTGTTCTGTGTTCACTGTGCGATGGTCAACATATATCATAAGCCAAATAATGGAACGAAAACTTTTGCCATTTAAAGTATAAGCACAACATAGAGAAAATATCAGCCGACTACGGTGGAGAGGAAGTACATTATCATAGGCTACTTAACAACCAGTAGTCGAAATCCATGGCCGGTTGCTTAATTTTAGAGCCTTCAAATTCATGTCAAGCCACACTGTACAGCTAAGACTAGTCACAATGGGTAGTAACTTAGACTACTAACATGCATATGTTACTAATTTATGTTACTACCTCTATAGTGGGGAGTAATATATGTGTGGTGTCATGCAACACTTTATTTATTAGGTTGTAGATTCATCTTGTTTTGGTGTGTATGATGTTACAGTAACTAGCTATGTTACTACATGTCCCTCTTTCCCCATTAATTACTCGCCACATCATCTGTTTTGCCTAGAGATGTGTGATGTTACCATGTATGTTACTCCCACTCTGGGTAGTCTAAAACGGTTTTTTATTGAGCAGTGCTTTGGTACACATACACCCCTAGGAAACTTTGAAACGGGCATTCTTGTGCATCCACATGAATCATTAGATTAATTAACAGAAAAGCTAGCTCGGTGACTTTCACTGGGAAAGGGGTGGCAAATGAACCCCTTTCGCTAGCAATCTTAGTTTTGAGACCAGAACAAACAGTGGCAGGTTTGAACAAAGAATTTCCTTCTCTGACAGAAACTGCCATATCGCTCTGAAAAAAGTGCCACCCATCACAACTAAAAATGCAAGCAAAATCGTTCGCAAAATGCCACGCCCCTCCTTGCAAACATCTCCTGTTAAGGGGTTCTTAATTATCCTCAAATTTGTTTGGTAATTAATTAGTTATGCCGGCACCAGCCCGCACACACGTGAGACGTGACCTATTCCTGGCCTTGGCGGTGCTCGACCGGCACTCTAATCATTCCACCGATCACTTTCCTCTTCCTTATTACTACGGGTGAGTACCTTCCTGAGCCATCTCATGGTACATCAAATGGCCTATCTACACGAAGAGCCGCAGGAGATTTATGCATCAAGAAGAATGCGGCAGGCGTCTTAAGAATTTACTAGGAAAGAGACCGGCTAGGAAACAAGAAATGATTCTGTTGCGATGGGGCTTGCAGGGCGGAGTTCTTGGAGACAACACCTATTGTATGACTGGGTGATTCATCCTAGCTTGACATCGCAAACATGTTTACATGTTACCCATAGGCCTCCGCACAACTGCTCTCCAGTACCAATGGTCCTATATTGCCTTAAAACACCATTTTGATTTTTTTTTTACGGGATTTTCTCGTTGCCATCTGTGAGGCCGAACAAAACGGATCACTTTTCATCTTCGGTAGGTTGATCTGTTGGAACTCTATCCCTCTGGGTGGAAGAATTTGAAGCCATTGTCATCACCGACACTTTGGTAGTCATTGAGATCATCATCTCCATCACCATTTACATCAGCACTATCTCCATCATCACCTTCATCTCCCTCTACTTTTTAGTCTATGAACTATTACCTTGGATTTATTGTTGAGATTACTCTCTGGTGTTGATTACTGCTTGTAGTTGATGCTTAGAGGTTCAATTGATGAAAGATTCTTATGTTCAAATTGTTTATTATATCAATACCCCCATTGATCATGATTCATGTGATGTCTTGTGAGTAGTCCATTACATTCTTGAGGAATGGGCGAAACCTTGTTGCTAGTAATCATGTGAAATTGAATAAAGTTCAACGTTTGATATTTTGTTTTGGTGCGATTCTTTACTGGTGATGAGCGAATGTCGACCGCATATCACTTCACCTTGATGCGCGTAGAGGAGAGCATTGCATGGTTAGTTTTTCTATGATGGATGGTTGGTGTGACCGAAATTTTCATACCCTAAGTTCATGAACTATTGCAGAAGGGCTTGAACTTGTAACCCTTGAATTTAATGTTGTAGTTAGATGTTATCTTAATTACTCTTGTATAGTTATGGATACTTGCGTTAAGAGTTAAATCTTAAGTATGTATCTTGTTCATGTAAGAATAGTTCATTACCATTGGTTCCACCACACAACAATTGTCAAAGCTATGAAAGTTAAACTCAATGGAACTTCATGAAAACAACTTGCTGAAATTCTCGTGTGTCCTTGAGAGCGATCTGACCCTTATAAGTGCCAGCTTGTCCTTAGCACAATTAAGAATTGAGTCATTTGTTGCACCATTGATCTTTTGTTATGTACGTTCGTGCAATTGTTCTTATGATCAAATAGACCATCAAACACTCTTTGCAGCTTTTAAAGTGACTCATTGTTGATTTATATTGACCAATTGTCCAAATCCTTCTGATTCTCATTGGGTTCTATACTCTTACTTATCGAAAAGAGCTACAGTAGATCCCTTACACTCGCGGGTTGTAGCACCAGCGTGGAAGAGGGGGAAGGGCCCGCCATCTTCTTCTTCTTCCTTGGCCTTCTCCCTGGAAGGAGGGATGTATCCCCCTATGGTTTTTGGTGGCTATAGTGGAGAGGAAGAGAGCTTCCCTCGAGATTGGGTCTCAGTTTCGAGGGGGTCTTTTTCTAGATGCGGAAATCTAACTTGCTTGCCATTTTAGGATTTTCTTGGAGATCTGTAACTACGAAAAACTCAAAAAAAATGACGGATCCAAAAAAACGCGTGCAAGCTTGATAACCCACAAGTGTAGGGGATCGCAACAGCTTTCGAGGGTAAAGTATTCAACCCAAATTTATTGATTCGACACAAGGGGAGCCAAAGAATATTCTTGAGTATTAGAAGTTGAGTTGTCAATTCAACCACACCTGGATAACTTAGTATATGCAGCAAAGTATTTAGTAGCAAAGTAATATGGTAATAAAGGTAATGGTAGCAAAAGTAATGTTTTTGGGTTTTGTAGTGATTGTAACAGTAGCAACGGAAAAGTAAATAAGCGAAGCATGATACGTCTCCAACGTATCTACTTTTCCAAACACTTTTGCTCTTAATTTGGACTCTAACTTGCATGATTTGAACGAAACTAACCCGGACTGACGCTGTTTTCAGCAGAACTGCCATGATGTTGTTTTGTGTGTAGAAAAGAAAAGTTCTCAGAATGTCCTGAAAATCCACGGAGGCACTTTTTGGAATTAATAAGAATTGCTGGGCGAAAGAAATACACCATGGGGCCCAAGGCCTGTCCACAAGACGGGGGGCGCCCCCCCCCTGTAGGGCGCGCCTCCCTATCTCGTGGGCCCCCTGGACCTCCACCGACCTCAACTCCAACTCCATATATTCCGTCTCGGGGAGAAAAAAATCAGAGAGAAAGTTTCATCGCGTTTTACGACATGGAGCCGCCGCCAAGCCCTAATCTCTCTCTGGAGGGCTGATCTAGAGTCCGTTCAGGGCTCCAGAGAGGGGGATTCATCGCCGTCATCATCATCAACCATCCTCCATCACCAATTTCATGATGCTCACCGCCGTGCGTGAGTAATTCCATCGTAGGCTTGCTGGACGGTGATGGGTTGGATGACATTTACCATGTAATCAAGTTAGTTTTGTTAGGGTTTGATCCCTAGTATCCACTATGTTCTGAGATTGATGTTGCTATGACTTTACTATGCTTAATGCTTGTCACTAGGGCCCGAGTGCCATGATTTCAGATTTGAACCTATTATGTTTTCATGAATATATGTGTGTTCTTGATCCTATCTTGCAAGTCTATAGTCACCTATTATGTGTTATGATCCGACAACCCCGAAGTGACAATAATCGGGATACTTCTCGGTGATGACCGTAGTTTGAGGAGTTCATGTATTCACTATGTGCTAATGCTTTGTTCCGGTTCTCTATTAAAAGGAGGCCTTAATATCCCTTAGTTTCCACTAGGACCCCGCTGCCACGGGAGGGTAGGACAAAAGATGTCACGCAAGTTCTTTTCCATAAGCACGTATGACTATTTACGGAATACATGCCTACATTACATTGATGAATTGGAGCTAGTTCTGTGTCACTCTATGTTATAGCTATTACATAAGGAATCGCATCCGGCATAATTATCCATCACTGATCCATTGCCTACGAGATTTTCATATATTGTTCTTCACTTATTTACTTTTCCGTTGCTACTGTTACAATTACTACAAAAAACCCAAAAACATCTATCTTTACTTTTGCTACTGTTACCATTATTATCATACTACTTTGCTACTAAATACTTTGCTGCAGATATTAAGTTATCCAGGTGTGGTTGAATTGACAACTCAACTGCTAATACTCAAGAATATTCTTTGGCTCCCCTTGTGTCGAATCAATAAATTTGGGTTGTACTTCACCCTCGAAAGCTGTTGTGATCCCCCACACTTGTGGGTTATCAAGACTTATTTCTGGCGCCGTTGCCGGGGAGCATAGCTCTATTCTCTGAGTCACTTGGGACTTATATCTGTTGATCACTATGAAGAACTTGAAAGACGCTAAAACCAAGATTTTGCCCTCAACTACGAGGGGAGGTAAGGAACTGCCATCTAGCTCTGCACTAGATTCTCCTTCCGTTATTAGTAGGCTTGCGACACCTAAACCTACTACTGCTATGAATTCTGATATGTCGCATGTTATTGATGATGCCACTTCTGCTATGCATGATGAAACTACTTCCGTGCGTGATACTACATTGCCATTAGGTGAATTTCTTGATGAAC